AATGATGCATCAGTGTGCTTTCTAGTGTAAATTTCGTTCTCCTCTAAATGACGCGTGAGTTTGCTTTGTAAATTTAAATTTCGTTTTCTTTTAATAATGCATTAGCTTGTTAATTTTAATTGAAATTTAATTTTTGGTTAGGTGGGTAGGAATGAATCTTGTATTCATGGAAAATAATAATAATAATTAGTTATGCATTAAATAGTTTTTAAGTATATATATATATATTTATTAATGTTATAATATTAAATTAATATATTTTTGATTGATGAATCTGAATTAAATATTTATTTAATTTAATTAGATTCATTAAGAGTTGGAATGCATGTTTTAAGTGTACATGCTAAGTATGGAATTTAATTAATTTTAGAAAGGATAAATTAATTAAATATTGTTGGATTAAATTAGTTTAATCAATTGTTTAGATTTAAATTAATTTAATGAGTACATGGGGATGTACAATTTAATTGAGATGCATGTTAAATTCTTATGATGTAAATTAAATGCATGCTAATTAGAATTGATATTTTTGCTGAAATAAATGCAAAGGACGTGTATAAGATTTATATCATATTTATTTGGTTTATTAGATGTAAAAAAAATATATATTTACATTATCCTTGGATTGGAAATTGTTATTTGGATATGCTATGGATTAATGCACCATTATGGGATGGGGGCATATTAGGGACGGATTAACTTACGAGTTAAGTCCTACCTATTTTTAATAAGAGAACGGATTAACCATAGTGTTAATTCCTACTTATTCCTGTCAGGTCAACGGAATAGTTGGATGACATTTTATTAAAATAATAATTGGATAGTTTATTTTTGATGGTTGGATTAGGACGAATTTTTACATATATAATTATGCGTCACGATATGAGCTTGAGTCTCAGGATCAGTGGTTAGGGTGCGTATATTGCCAGGGATGTGTAGCTAGATATAGTGTAGTTGTGTACCCTGGTAGGTCTAGGTACTCATGCCCACTATATGTGTGTTTTTGCATGTTGCCTACTATTCAGGTTGAGACAACTCTATAGTCTAGTGAGGTTCCTTTAGTGTGTGTATATCTATATATGGACTATTTAGTTATTGTTGAATTAATTAGGATGTGTATGTGTATCGAGTCTCTGTTTGGGATGTAGTAGATTAGAACTTGTATGTGGGCCTGACCCACCATTATTTTTCAGGTATTCGTCAGTTCCAGTCTTAGAGATTGTTCGTGCCGATCAGAGATAGTCATTCACTCTTCCGACTCTATGTAGGACTCTTCTACATGGTTTAGTTATTAGTTTTTTTCAGTTCGGTTATGTCAGTTGGGATAGTATTAGGGGTCCACATTATGGATTCCCGAGTTGTAGTTTAATTAACTATTGGTATCAGAGGATTGAAGGATTCTATTATGGGATTTTTAATTATTATTTATTTGAGGATATTTAAAATAGGGATTTATTATTTAGTTTCCTTTAGCTTACTATTTATTTGTTTCTTTATTATTCTTTTTGTATTCAAATGCTTATTTAAATATTAATTGTTTGATATCCCTTGTATTCTGTGCTCGGACTTGATCACCCGTGGCTCTAGAATTGAGGGGTATCACAGTTGGTATCAGAGCACTCTAGGTTCAAGTGTCTCTAGGGATCTATCGTTTTAAGACTTCCGCATAGCATATTTTTTTTTATTTAGAGCCTAAGATTAGGATTCGTTGTATTCTTTGCGGTTCGGTTAAATCGTACTAATGTCTGTCTTTCTATGTTAACAGAATGGTTAACGCTAGAAGAAGACGGGAGAATCAGAGAAACAGGCAACGAAGGGAAGCGGCCCGTAGGCAGCGTCAGGAGGATGAGGGTCAGTTCCATGAGGAGCATGAGGAAGTTCAGCAGACTCGGGGTCAGGGAGGAGATCCAGAGTTTCCTCCTCACCTCAATGACCTTATTGCTCGGGCTATAGAAGCAGGGGTAACCGCTGTACTTCGGAATCAGCCTCAGGTACAGTCGGCACCGTTACCAGCACCAGTTGTTCAGACTGATACATGGGAAAAGGCTAAGAGTTCTTTCACAAAGGGGAGCCCACCTGAGTTCACAGGCAATATGGTTGTTGAGTTATTAGTCTTGGGATTTTGTGAGGAGTTCTCGGAAAGACTGTGGTTGGGAGCCTTTTCTTTAAGGAGGGTAGATTTCGAGGACGAAATCTCTTTAAGGAGGGTAGATTGTGACGTTTCCGATTTTTTTTGCCATTTTTTTATTTTCTGAAAATTTTGTTGCCGCAAAGGTATTTCTGTCATTTCACGTTTTGCGTACGAGATTGTGGTTGGGTCCAATTGCAATTGGTACATTTAAATTCATGTGGACTAAGTGGTATGTGCATGTGGTGCATTGTACATGTTATGTGGTTTAGAATTTTGTGATTAAAGAATAATGAAAAATCAAAATTTGAAGTGGAGGGACCCACCACTAATGCATTAGTGGTTTAGAGACCACTCCTTCTCTCTCATTTTCTCTCTCCCCGTTTCTTCCTCTCTCTCCCTCATTTCCCTTCATTTTTCTTTTCTTTTGGAAGCCAAACTTTGGATCTTCATTTCTCTCTCATTACATGGTAGATTTAAGTGCCGTTTAAGGCAAAACGGAGAGCATGACGAACTCTACACGTGGGTACAAGCAATTTCAGTTTTGGTGCTCCCTAGAGACTTCGAAATTTGGACCCATTTTGAGGGTTTTCGCAATTCTAAGAGGTAGGGGTTTCTAATCTATAAGTTCTTGCCCCCTAGTGAATTAATCCTTGTTAATTGATGCTTAACATGCTTAATTGAGTTGATTACCTCTAATAATGATTTGGTTTTGTAAATAAGATTCATGTTTATGTGTATATGTGGTTTTGTGAGACAAACATGCTTAGATGTTGATTTTACATGCTTCAGTGTTTATATCTTGGTAGAATTTGTTATATGGAAAGCATGTCTATGTGTAGCTTCCATTATGCTTATGGTGCTAGTAATTTATTTGTAAATTGTGGAATGGGAGCATGTTAAATTGTGTATTGTATGAATCTTTCATGTATCATGGCATCATGAAAGCATATGATGATCATGCATGTCATTGGGTATCAAAATGGAAAAGAAATTGTTTGATACAAAAAGGGGAGCTTTTGAGGGAAACAAGTTTTGATGAAAAAGAGTTTTGAGAAAACCCGGTCGCTGCGGAGTCACCAACGGGCCGGTAGGTTAATGTAACCTAGAGGGAACTAGGGAGATTGCCCTAGCGTGGTTGAGCTATCTGGGCCCCATAATGACGCTTCGAAGTCACCAAAGGTCAGGGACAGTAGCCAATCCTTCTCTCGGCGCTGCAGAGTCACCAAAGGGGGTTACATTAACAGTTTGAAATTGGTGGATTTGAATTGTTGAAAATGAGTAGCGACATTTACATGCACTGCATTTCATTACTCCATATTGATTGTGTTGAGACTGTATATTATGTTGTATTTTCCCTACACAGTATGACCCCGATTCCTATTGTCCTATTCCTTGTTTGGGTTCACGGGGACACAAGATGCGTGTCTTAGGTGCCACCTACTGAGCAATTTGCTCACCCCATATATTTATATTTTTTTTTTTTCAGGTCTTGGAAATGAACTGGTGGACGACAATCCACCTCAAGCTTGAAAGTTGTTAGAAGGTTGTTTGTTATGTTGTATTTTGACCATTCTATGTATATTCATAGTTGTGGAAATGTAATTAAATTAGTATTCATGGCCTTGTAACTTAAGAACGAACTTATCTTTTGTTTGATGTAAATTAAACAAATGGAATTATGGTATATATATTTCCATGCAATTGTATCATGTAACGTTGTAAGACAGGGACTTTAAATCTTAACCATGTATTTTGGGACTGTAATTATGATAATTTAGATTAATTGGTGTGTGGATGTTCCACTATGAGAGGAACTAAGTTAAGGCATGGTGAATGGATGAAAGGGATGTTAGAATGTATTATATGTTTATTGTGCTGGGACAGGTTAAAAAATTCATTTAAATAGGTTGTGGTAGGCCCATTTTTAGGGGAGGTTTTGCCAATTTTTTTTAAAATTTTGGCATCAGCTAAGGTCGTTACAGATGAGTCCAATCTCGCACAGAGGAGCCAGCAGAGCACTCACATACACAGGAGCCAGCAGAGCCCACACAGTCTCCCCATTCTGATAGCAGAGCACATTCATCTGATGAGGCATCTCCTTCTCACTAGGCTGAGGCTAACCACATCCCATCTCACATCACCAGCTCAGCCAACCCAGCAGCTAGACCGACCATTACATAGATACTCACGCTTTTTAGTGGCGCACAAATCGGTCTTCGATACAGACTTCTTTTCCCAATCGATACTTACTCGATCAGCATATGATGATATATTACAGAGGGGCCTTGCAGCCATTCTTGCCCCTGTCACATACCCGGTGTACCCGAGGCTAGTACAGATGTTCTTCCAAAACCTCCAACCTGCCCCGAGTAACCTGGCGGAGCTGAGGACCACCATTGATGGCCATCCTATCTCTATTACAGTGCAAACATTATCTCTATTATCTCTATTATCCAGATCTTGCCCCTGTCCACATGTCTGCCCTCCAGAGCTACAGGACATATATCCTACTCTCTACAAACCTACATCTGCAGACATGACCGTTTTACTCACAGGTCACTATGCCGATGGTGAGACTTTCGCCACCCGCACCTATCTTCCAGATGACCTGTAGTTTTTTTACTCTGTCTTGTTCCGTAATATCTTCATGGCCAGCCATAAGACATTGAGGCGCGGCGACTATCTTATAGCTCTATATGCATTCTACACAGGGTGTTGGCTGTTTAGTCCTGCACTCATCTGGAGTGTTATGATGAAGCTGTATGTCGACCACATCAGCAAGGCCAAGCCTAAAAGGGCTAAGTATCTCCCATTCGGCCATCTCATCACACAGATTCTACGTGATCAGCGCTATCCCTTCCAGCCATAGGAGAAGACTGAGTCTGGGGCATGTTCATTCAAGAAAGAGGACTGGGATAAGAGCTACAACGCTCTTATCAAGAGCCTCCGGGACGACGTTGCCAAGGCAGCTGAGGATCTAGAGGCAGAGGAGATAGAAGCAGCAGTAGACCCGGCAGCAGATGACGTCGTAGTCGATCCAGCTGCCATACACGTGGATATTGATTTAAAGCAGCCTAAAGAGGACCTAGAGTAGCACTCTCCAGTTGGGTCACCCGTTCACGATAAGGAGCAGGCTCAGGATCATCATTCTTTTGATCCAACCACACCTGAGGCTCCTGCTCATACACCCGACTTTGGAGAGCGACTTCAGACTCTGGAGGACGCCGTCGTATCTATTCGCGTAAAAACTGTCTCCATTAGAGCTGACATTGCTTCCCTCCGTACGGATGTCATGACCGCATTCAGAGATCTATCCAGAAACATCTGCGGAGCGCGATCTGCCCGTCCTACCTCCTCCACTTGATCTTTCCGTTCTTCTTATTCTTCTTATATATATATGATATCAGCATATTTTTGATACTGTTATATTATTTTTGCAATCGTGTCTATCGGCTTTGATACTGGATGTACTGTACTTTATTTTTGGTTTATATATGATTTCTTTATGGATGTCCTATTTTCATATTCTTATATCTATATGTTTGACTCCATCAGGTGCATCCCAATGACTGCAGTGAGAGAGAGTACTTTTCAATTTTCAGGACCACCCTTATACCTCTCTCTATTTTCTGTTGCTATCCCATTTACACTTGCATGTCCACTGTGCACTGTTATTATCCCTTTTGTTATCTGATGAGTTTTATCCAAGTGCCAAAATTTCAGGACCACAGTTAATCCCAAGTTTGGGGGGGCTATGCCACCCACTTTGGATACTTCTGTCATGGCCTTTCTTTGCCTTAGTTGCACTGGTATACTCTTTCTCTTTTGTTCTCTTTGCACATTGAAGACACTGTGCCATTTAAGTTTAGGGGTAATGGTGCTTTGCAGTATTTGTTTTTAAATTCAAAATTTTGAGCATGACTTGTGTATTTGAGGGATTTTCTATGATTGGTCCATGATTATCTATGATTTTGATCTTTTGAGGAATATATTGCTTAGAATTTAAAAATTGTTTGACTTGAGAGTCCAATACTCCTTGTATGCCTTGTGGATGTCATTTACGAGTAAATTTTTTGAAAGATTAATATCTTGCTTGCACTTGTGGTCCACATCATCCCGATTTTGTGATTGTTTTGAGATTCACTCTAGTATTCTACACTAGCACAGACGCACACTAGCATGCATTTGTGGGGTACATGTTTTGTTGATTATTGAATTGGTTATATCCCAATTGAGCTAGTAGTGCATGGAAAGTTTTCATTCTTGATAAAGGTGGATAACAACCCCTTTTCACTGAGTAGCCGAGATTATAACCTCATTAAGCACTGAACTTCTTGCGCCGAAAGGTGGAGGGCCCAAACTCTAGGTTAATAATTGAACTTGAAAAAAAAAAAAAAAAAAAGTTGCAAAAGCAATAAAAAAGTGAGGACTTCCCCCAAAAATGTGAGAAGTGGGAAATGATTAGATGTAGGTTGTCTTAATTTGTAGCCTAGTTGATTTGAGCTTATAAGTCCGTAGGAGTGTTTGAACACCTAGTGCCCTAAAGCCGTCTGGTTTAGGAGTCATTGACCTAACGCTCGACCTCATGGATCGCTAGAAAGCTTAATAAATCAACACATTACACCATGCTTCCATCTTTGATCCTAAAATAAAAATAAAAATAAAAAATCGAGTGAAAAGAATAAGCGCACCTAGAACAATAAAGTTTTAATAAAACGTCCACTTTTTGTCTTGATGATCGGTACTAGATTTGTGTGCTAGTTTGAGGGTAAGGATGTGCTCATTTCTTTAGTTGGCTAAGATAGCAACATATTTGATGCCGGTCCACTCAAAAAGGATTCTAGAGTTATTTTGATTTTCATGATCATTTTCTTGATGTGTGGAGGACCATACTTACTTGCTTGATGTTGAGATTTTGGGAGATTGCTTGGAAAGGGTTGAAAAATTGCATACTTGAGGTAGTTTTCTCCCAATGCTTGTTTGCAATATTAGTGCCTCTTTTAAAAGAATGAGCTTAATGTTTGTGGGTATCATTTCTAGAAACCCTCACAAGATTTCACTCATCCAGTAGGGGTAACCTAGGGGTTTAAAGGGCTTGTTGCATACGCTAAATGCAATCGTGTTCCCTACGAAAGTGGCGTTATCCATTTATTGCTTTCTAAGTTTATAGTTGTTTAGTTATTCATTGCATTTTTTTACTTTCTAGTTCATTGCTAGGGACTAGCAATATTTAAGTTTAGGGGTGTGATGAGTGCTGAAAAGTACACATTTAAACCCCTTAAGCTTAGGTATTCTAAAACCTTTATCTATCTTATTTTCCCACTTTACATTGATTTCGTGTTATTTCCATTTTCAGGTACTTATCCTTAAAATAAGCTAACTCAGCCAAATAAGAGCAGAAATGAAGCAATTCTGGGATGAATCAAAGAAATGAGCAAAGTAGAGCAAAAAGAAGCAAAATGTGGAATTTCAGCAACTTCAGTCGATCTCAAGAAGAGTTCGATCGATCCAACTTTCATTGATCTCAGCACTTCAAGATGGATCTGAGCCATGTTTGTCCCTAGTCAAAGATCTCAAAGTTCGATCGATCCAACTTCATTCTCTGATCTATCGAACATTCTTGTCCTTATCCAAATGATTGATCTTATTCAGCTGTACCACCCTGCCAACCGCTTTTGCCCTTTTCCCAAAAATATCTTTAAAATATCTCAGATTTGTTTTTATCCAAAAAGGTGCCGCCATAGAAGATCGATCCAGCTTCAGTTCGATAGATCTCAGCCATGTTCGATCGATCTAAGGTCAAGGTTCGATCGATCTAACTTCCTCCAGTGCGAAAAAGTTAAATTGCCAGCTCATAAAAAGTTGTCCTTATCCAATCATTGGGAGAATATTGGAGTACGTGCCAGATCATTTTTGGATGTCACCTAACATACCAAAAAGAGGGATTTGAGTAACTTTTGAGGGGGATTCACATACAACCATAGAAAGATTTTTTTAGAGAATTCTTAGTGAGGAAGTAAAGGAGAGGATGAGGCTAGAGACACCATTGGAGGCTCTTCATCAATCAAGGAGCAAATTTCTTCCATGGAGCTTGCCCTTGAGGGTTGGAAGACATCATCCATGAGTGGCTAGACATCTTCTTGGGGCTAAAGTAAGCCCTAAGAATGCTTTCTACATCTTGATTTATGTATTTTGAAGGGATTTGTATTATGATACATGTTTTGACACTTTTATATATATAGATCTTGTTTATTCAATGATTTATGTGGTTTAATGCTTCCAATTGATCATTTCTTTCTATCCATATGTTTATGTATGCTAGAATAGATGTTCATGTGTTTGTCTCTATTTCTTGTGTTATTAATGCATGTCTATGTGTATTAATGCTATAGATCTAGATATTGTCAAGACATAGTGCTTAATGGAATGTTCTTGTGGTTTATTTAATGGTTCATACTCATTTCTTGATGGATTGTACCTCTCCCTTAGTTTAATTAGCTTAATTTCATGTCATTAGCTTAGTTGTAGTGTAGTTGTTAAATGGGAGGACAATCCATGCTTGTTGTTTGATGTTCCATGCTTTTGAATGCAAGTAACATATATCTCTAACCTTGTGATGTGTTTGGTTGTGAGCTTAAAGAAAGGATTAATGGCTTAATTTGATATGTTGTGCTATCCACCATGTTGCTTAGACAATATATGCTTAATTTGTCATCCATGCTTATTGAAACAACCATACACACACTCTTTGTTGCAATACATGTTTTTCCCCTCATTAATCATTCATTAAGGGTGTAGAAAAGTATGCTTAGTGGTGATCTCTAAACCCCAAAATCTCTCTATCTCTTTTATTCTCTTTATTGCATTATTGTTTACTTTAGTTTAATTTGCATCTAGTGTAATTCAACCAACCAACCACTACTTTGATCACTCGACCTACTAACCCTAATCTTGATTCCTCAACCTAAAACGACCCACCAATCCCTTGGGACGATCCCTACTTGCCCTAGCTATATTTTTAGTGAAAAGTAGTAGTGGCAATTTCTAAATGTAAAACTTGGCCATATTCATCAAAGCTCTACACCACTATCTTTTTGGGAATGCACAAACTGTTGGGTTTCGAGGTTGATGACCCGGGGCACACCACTTCATCCCCTTGGGAGCCGGCTCTATCCCTACTTCTCATCATCTTCATCACCTCCGGCGACGTTTAAACCCTTTTTAAACCTTTGTTAGGGTTCTTAAGGATCCAATCTATGTCCAAAATTAACCCAGAAATTCATCTAAACCTATTATGCATCATTAACAACAATTTAAACACATAATATGCAACAATTGCTACAATAAAGAAAATTAAATCAAACAACACACAATACAGTTTAAACTCTGTTTTAACATGCATACAATACCATTTTTAATGTCCGATTAAATCCTGAAGATTATATAGGCATGCACAGAACACATGCCTAAAGGAAAGAGTAAGATATAGAACTTGCCTTTGGTTTCAATTTGAAACCTTCAACCGTCGCCTTTGATTTTTCTAACAACTCCTTAATTGCAGTTAAGCACCTCTGTTGCTACTGGTTCAACCCACAAGCAATCACCTTCCTTCCTCCTTGGTCCAACCTTCAACCTATGGCCGAAACCCTAACTTGATCCCTCAATTCTCTCTCAAACCTCTACGTACATTAATAGGGTTTTGTTTTTAGCCTTAGGCAGACTTATACCAGTATATTTATAAGCAAAGTAACTGTAACCTAATTCTATTCATGTGAGGAGACGAAAAAGGAAAAACAGAAATAAAATATAAAATAGCTATATGTATATAAGTCGGCAATTACATAAATACATATACAACCCTAAAACTATATAATACATATATAATGAATAATAATACTAATTTAATTATTAATAATAAATAATAATTAAACTAACCTCATATACATATATACCCATATATATATGTATAACCATCCATGGATATTAACTGTACCCATTTAATCACCTATCCAAGTAATCTATACTATCCAAGCCCAACTCCTTAAATTAAAAAATAATAATAATTAAAAAAAACATTTAATATAAGTCCACATA